AAATCGAGCTATTCTGTAAAAATCTTCTTTTACTATTTGTTGGTTTTCTTCGGTGTCTGGAAATTGTATGAATTCGCTTTGCCACGACCCACGATAGCGTCAGACACTCTTTTTATAATTCTACTGCAAGTAGATACACTGATGGGATTGAGGTCTGCTAAAGATAATAATTGATTGCCTGTTGCATAAAATCTAAGGCCACACAGTAATTGGTTAATCGGTGCCACAGGTTTCTTTCTTTAAATACAAGTAAGGTTGAGCAGGGAACCTGTATCTTATGAAAAAGTCTTTTTCATCATATATTTCAAAATCTTTCGATCTTTCACGATAAATACGAGGTCGTCTATACAAATGTCGGTTACTTAACAATTCCATATCTTCAATTGCTTAAAATCTTCAAATAAATAGTGGTTATTATCCATTTTTTTTATTTTGTATCTTATTCAGTAGGATAAAATACTGTTTGGTGATTCGCAAAATAACCTGACACTATGTGTCACTTAAACGTTACGGGGTCGTCAATTCATCCCCTAAATTATAAGGAACCCCTAATGATATAGGTGACACTTAAACGTTGGTGAAAACAAAACTCGCGATAAGTGTCCCTTATATTGGCTTAAGAGACACTTAAATTTTAGGGGCTGTTGGTGAAAACGGGTAATAGTCTTTTACCAACGCTTGTTTGGGCGCACTCTCACACAATCGTGATAAAGGATCGGCAATGTTGGTTTTCCCTGGTTTATATTTTATATTATAACGATAAGCCTGAAGCCGCAACACCCATCTCTCGACTCTAGCGCATGGTCTAGATTTAGGGCCAAATATAAATTCAAGGGGCTTATGATCAGTAATCAAATCAAACACTTTACCAAAAAGAAATGTATTAAAATGCTCTATAGCCCAAACGAGTGCAAGCGCTTCTTTTTCCGTTTGGCTATATTTTCTCTCACAGTCATCTAATGTACGATTACCGAACGCAATAATTCTAGGTCCTTTATTATCGGTTTGCACCCAAAACCGCACCCAACCCTACCGGGCTAGCGTCTGCTATAACTTGTGTCTTATCCATAACGTCATAATAACCTAGAGTTTTAATTTCTGATAATGCTTTCTTTAACTCTATGAATGCTGTTTCTTGATCTTCCTTCCAATATTCTTTTATACTGGCCTTCTTTCCTAGTTTCTTTCTCAATAGCTCTTTAAGTGGTTCGGTCATAGTTGCCATGTTAGGTATCCATTTGTTTATGTAATTACTAGTCCGAGAAAACTCTGTAATTCTTCAATCGTATCTGGAACTCTAAACTCTGATATACTCTTTATATATTTGGGTAGTGGCTTTACTCCATCCGGACTTAAAACATGGCCTAAGAAGTGTATTTGCTGTACTGAATATATACATTTAGCTTGATTAAGCAGGACATCGTTATCTTTTAATATTTCAAGACTTCGGCCAATCGTAAATCATGTTCTTCTTTATCTTTACCCCAGACCAGAATGTCATCAATGAAATTCGTTACTCCCTGGCATTTAATCAATAATTTCTCTAGAATTTTTTGAAAAAGTTCAGGGGCGCAAGTCACCCCAAACATAAGTCTTTTTATATCGATAGAGCCCATTAGAAGTGATAAATGTAGTTAAATGCCTGGAATTTGGATGTAATTCTATTTGGTGAAATGCGTCCTTGATATCCAATTTTGAAAAATACTTTGCTTTGCTTATTTTCGGCAACAAATGTTCCATGCACGGTAAAGGATGGTTTTCTCTTAATATAGCTGCATTCGCACGCCGCATGTCAACACAGACGCGCACATCGCCATTATCCTTTAGAATAGGTACAATAGGAGAAACCCAGGGTGACGGTTCGTGTACTTCCTCGATAATGTCTGAATCAAGTAATTCTTTTATTTTCTTATTTATTTTTTCTTCGATAGGTATAGGTATTCTTCGAAATGGTTGCATAACAGGTTTAACTAACGGATCTATAGGAATTTCTATTGAGACATTTTTAAATTTAGGGAATGGTTTGAGATTTTACTTGACTACAATTTATTTGGTTCACACTGACCCCTAATTTTAAAACTCCAAGACGTATGGCAGTGTCCTTTCCCAGAAGATTTCTTGATCCATCTCCTATGACATAAATTTTAGCCTGATCTTCTTTACTGTTAGCTTTAATTATAGTTTCAAACGACCCATTGACCTGTAATGGAGTCTTACTGCCATATGCGAAAAATATTTTATTCGGTTCTCGGACCTGCTTATAACAATGTACCTTGTTTCGTTTTCAAGTAATCCCAAGTTTTATCCGATATTAAATTCAATTTGCAACCCGAATCTATTAACATTTCCAAACTTACACCTCCTATTTCACATCTTATGTTGCATCATCGTTTAAGTTGAATATATACTCTACCTGCTCTTCTTCTAAAGAATTAACCGTGAATCTTGTTTTTGTCTTTTATGGTTATTTTTATCCGAGTCCTGTTTTTGTTCCGTTTTGCGTTTTAATTGATTAGATTTAGTTCGACAACAGCGTTGATAGTGGCCTAATTTTCCACAACCATTACACTTCTTCCTCAAAGCTGGACAGACCGATCCATGAGAAGTATGTGCTGCATGGCCACATCTACCGCACTTACTTGATTGTCTGTTTTGAGTCTCCCATCTGGAATTATTCTTGTATGTAGTTTTTATCGCGTTTATCTCATTGTTTTTATTTTATCTTTTTTTTCATAGCTTTCTAATTGGTGGTTAACTATTTCTAGTGTGTTTGCAGCTGATATTACTTTATCTAATGTAATCTCATCCCCCATAGTGAGAATCTTCTTTCTTAATTCTGAAGATAGACAGCATCCAGTTATTTGGTCAATAATCTGATCATCTGGCTTGTCAAACTTACATTTGGCTGCTTGATCTCGAAGTTTAAGCAAAAATGTTCAAAAGTTTCACCTTTCTACTTGCGTTATTTGTCGAAATAGGTGTCTTTCATAAGTCTATTTTGTTTAGGAAGAAAGTAATCATCTAGCTTACGAATAGCTACATCAAAACATTGACTCATTTTCAGGATTAACATTAGCTCCTGCAAGTTATAAAATATGTCTTGAAGTGTAGATCCACCTAATACTAATAACGTTGCTCTCTTTTTTAACGTCATTATTAATGTCAGATGCTTCAAGGTAAATAAGAAGTGACCTCTTCCATTTCTCCCATTTTAATCCCATAGAAGAACTATCACCTTCAAGGATTAATTTCTCTGGAGGCGGGTAGCTGATTCGACATGATGGATCGTTATTTGAGACGACCTGGAAAAACATCAATTGAATGGAAATAACACTTTTTCACAATAATGCAAGTCTTTTGTCTTCTTTAACCTATAAGTTCTTATTTAGAAGAAGTCCATCCAAGTCGCAATTCCAATTAAATGGAATCCCGAAGTCCTTATAAAAATATAATTTTCTGATTCCAATTTAATGGAATTCCGCAGGTTTATTCCGATTCCAATTAAATGGAATTCCGATGACTATTGAATTTCAAATTCGTTATTGATTCCAATCTAATGGAATTCCAAGTTTTAACCTTAATTTCCAATTAAATGGAATTCCAAAGTTTTGACCTTAATTCCAATTAAATGGAATTCCGAAGGCATATCTTAATTCCAGTTAAATGGAATACCGACGACTATTGACTTTCAAATTCTTTGTTTTAATTCCAAGCTATGGAATTCCAAAGTTTTAACCTCAATCCCAATTTAATGGAATTCCGAAGTTTTTCATTTCAATTTAATGAAATTTTATCATAGGTACCTAACTAATTTTAGTTTTACTCTGTTATATAGTTAGGCGGGGAAAAATATGGCATATCCTATTGTTAGCGTACCTACCTACCTATGCAAATCGTTCGTTGTATGCACGTAACTTAAACGAATGTTAAAACTAATGAAAAACTTTTGTAAAGTAATTAGAAACAAACAATAACTAAAAATATGTAGCCTACGTCACCTTTTAAAATAAACAAATAACTATCTATTATACCTACATTATGAAATATCATTTAGACTACGTACAATCAGACAAAATCTTTGAGTAAACGTTATTTTAAGATTATTTGTTTGCAATATGTAAAATATTGAAAATAGCACCTATACATATAAGCCGTCTGGATTTGTAATTAATAGTAGAAAACTTAATTAATCGCCTGTTTATTTACTTTCATTTACGCGGCAGGCGCCAGGCCGCAGCGCGGGAAAATATGAAATTTTTATATTAATAAATTATCGTCTCCAGCTCGCATGTATAAGTACAAAACAAAACTATTTCTAGTCTCTTATTACCAATTTTGTGACATAATTATTATTGATAAAATACGTTTAATTAATTTTTAATTACCTTTTTCTAGTATAATAGTATGAAATCACAAATCGTTTGGTTTTTTTTTATGTTATTTCGACAAAATAATTAAACAAGCCACCTTTCCCGCCAAAAAAAAAATTTTTTTTTCCTGACCTTTTTTCCTCGTCGCCACTTGTAAGGACCCTTGTCTTTACAGTAAAACCGGTAATGCACTGGCTCACCACTACACTTGTATCGCAAGCAGCACTAGTCCAACCTTAACCAGTGTCAGTGACAGACTGACAGAAGTGACAGATTGACAGCTATACTTCGACTACTAGTGTACATGAGACAATGTTAGTATGACCTTTTTGGAGATACAAACACTACAGTACCTTTCAAATATTTTTGTTGCATGTTATTCCCCGCTTCTTCACAAGCCGTAATTCTAAGAATAAATGCTGTAGAAGACCAACTAATGTATTTTATTAAACAAACGTTACTAACTTGATCAAGTATCCTTTCAAAACTTCTTTGATGTTTAATGACTGCAGCATTTGGATATAAACAGAAAAATATATGTAGATTTCACTGTTTATTTTAATTAAATACCAGAGACAACAGGGAAATCATCAAGAGTGACGATACGAAACTATTGTCAGTCAAATTCAAAATGTCTTCAGTAAATGTCATTTGTCATTTGATCATCGAGTGACAGATAGAAAGACTTGGTTTTATTCGTTCACATTTTTCCCAATTTAATAGCCTAACGATACATTAATTGATATATTTTCTTATCATTTTTGTTATCAAATTAAATTCTCAAATAGGTTATAGGGCACACTATTCTCTAGAACAATAAACACAGTGACTTTTCTTGAAATAAAGATCAGGAAACTATCCTGTCACTTCGCTTCATAACAATAACCTTTCGTCATTGTGGATAGGCTAATTACGTATAATTAGTGCACGAAAATATAATAACAGCGACAGTGAGCACGATGGCAAAGGAGGAAGACGACGACAATTTGCCCGACAAGGATGCGGCAAAAGAATTCTACGCGAGATATGAGCCGAAAGAAATAATAGGCAGGTGAGTAAATGATATGAAATGTTCGCATAGTGCCTAGCGATTTTCGATAAGTTGCGTTGGTGCCAATTTCAAGGAACCAGGGAATTATTTAAAGCGTCTGGGCATTATTACAAGTGTTGTTACTAATAAGTCTTCTTCGTGACCTTGGAGTCAAAATCGCAAATTTTATTTGATAATACAACATTTTTGGTGGTGTTAAAGAATAATAATTTTCATAATAATTATTCGTTTGTATCTTTTTAATTCATAAAGTAGTAAGAAATTTTCTGGTATTGTTTAAATATTCCATTATAAGATCATTTTTGTAAAGTGATCTAATCTTAAATGGGTATTACTATCCAACTACCAAGTCTCAGTTTTGCAACAATTTATGGCATCGCCTATTTAAATTGCAGAAATGCAAATTTTTGATTTCTAAGATAAAATTTTTTGCCTGTTTAAATTTGGTATGAATTATTCAAATAAGACTCTTGTTAGGTTAGTACATTGATATTCACATAGCAACTGAAATTCGCCTATCAATCACTCCACAAGTAATAATGTTTTTTAATGGCTAGTAATATAATTGAACATTTCAAATTATACAATAATAAAATGCATCTATCAGTCTGTCATCAAATAATACATTTTTATAAAGTTATTTATTTTCTTAAGTTTAAGACACTATGTTTTCCTTTTTTGGATATTAACTACTACAATTTTATTTACAGAGGTATAAGTTCTACAGTACGAAGATGTATAGAAAAAGAAACTGGAAAAGAGTATGCGGCAAAGATTATAGACCTCAGTCAGGAATCACAAGATGGGGTAGACACGCATACAATGAGGGATGCGACACGGCAAGAGATCCACATACTGCGGATGGTCGCTGGACATCCTTATATTAGTGAGTGAGTTGCTAGCTCTATTTAGCTTTAAAGATTAATAAATATATTTAAAAAATAAAACAACTATTATTCAAAACTGTTATTTAAACTATTATTCTCTAGAGAAGGCTTACGGATTAATTACAATGTTATGGGTAACTATTATAGAACTTAAATTGCAGATAACAAGCCTCCGCAGAAAATGGAGGATGGATTTTTTATAATGGTTAAAGTATTTTAAATATTCCAGAAAAATAATCAAAAGTTATGATACTTATTATCAATTTATTTAAAATTTAGACATTACTAGAACTTGTTATTACGTTACCCTAAATGGAATGACAATAACAATAATATTTATTTACATCAATAATATAACCTATATGTATAAATAAAATAATTATAGCTTATTATCAATTTCTTAAATAGCTTTACAACACTATTTTGTAATGCAATGAAGTACAAAATTGCATGTCAAAAAAGTGTATTAAATAGGTCTTTACCTATGAAATTGCTTGCCGTTTAGCATGAAAAAATTTAAACGAATTTTTTGATTTGAAATGCGATGAAAATGTAACACTAATCATTAAACAAATGACTACTTTTGGAAAAAGAATCCCACGTTTTTAAAACAAAATTAATTACTCTTAGCCTAACAAAAACTATTTAGATTTGAAATGGCCAGTACTGCAGAACGGCCTATTATATAATTACAAATCTTTTTATAATTCCATCCAATAAAAATAGGTAGAAAAGTTTTTAATTTTATTATGGTGTCGGAACAAATCGCCCGAAGTAAATGTAATTTGTTGCAGTCGAGCTGCAGGATGTGTTCGAGTCGGAAACATTCATATTCTTAGTGTTTGAGCTGTGCAAGAATGGAGAGCTCTTTGACTATCTCACATCCGTGGTCACATTATCAGAAAAGAAGACTAGGTATATTATGAGGTAAGTGTTTTATTTTACAATAAGAATTTACCTAAAATGTCACCACCAATGTTATCAAAATAGGTCAATTTTCTCCACAGAATTTGTAGATTTTTATACATTAGCATTTAAAAAAAGGTTTTTAATAGAAGCCATTTATTTTATAAATAATAATTCGTTATTTAATTATTTAGTTCTTGATACACACAATTCTTGCCTGTGCACAAGGCAGTTAGGCAAATATAGAGGGATGTGTTACTAGCATTATATTCTACTACTTCTTGAAGTCATTCATTTATCTAGTCATACGATATTTTTTTTTGTATTCGTAATGCTTATTGTTTTCCTGCCACCAGGTGGTAAGGGATGATTGTACCTACGCCTACGATTGAGCATGCCTACCCATAAGCCACGTATTCACTCATGCCCTGCACATACCCTTTTCCAATAACGGCATTACTGCATCTCCTAAGCGCAAACTGTTTTACTAAAACCATATTAAAAATGTCTAATCCTAGTTTATTTACTAACTAGCTTCTGCCAGCTACTTCGTCCGCGTGAAATAGTGATTTCTGGCAGATTTTTGGTTTTACCCACATAGTTCCCGATCTCGTAGGGAACGGGAATAGAGAAGTTCTCCTCCCGGGATAAAAACTATCCTATGTCCTTTCCCGAGTTTTAAACTATGTCTGTATAATATTTTATCCAAATCTCGGTAGTTTAGTTGTGAAGCAGAGACAGACAGATAGACAGAGTTGATTGAATAAAATAAACACAGAATTTTAAAATATAGACATGTACTGTTGTAGGATATTTTGTAGATAATTTTATGTTAAATATTCCCGTAATACATGATTTCTATGTAACTTTAACCTCTACAGCTGCACATGCGGCTGAAGCTTTAAAAATGGAGTAATTTCTCCCGTTTTCCCAACATTTCCCTTCTCTGCTCTGCTCCTATTAATTGTAGCGTGATGAAGAATATCCTATAACCTGCCCAGGAATATGAAGAATAATTGTACCGAGTTTCGTTGAAATCCGTCAAGTATTTTTTGTTTCTATAAGGAACATACAGACAGTCAGAACAAGACAAAAATTTTAGAAATTACATTTTTTGCATCATTGTCGATCACTAATCACCCCCTGATGGTTATTTTGAAAATATATTTAATTAAGTACAGAATTTACCTCTCTACCGATTTATTATAAGTATAGATTAGTACCTACCGTAACTTTCCATGTAATGGAAGTTCAAATAAAATGAATGTGATCACGCTCTCACGTGGATATCATAATAGGGTAATATAATATTAGAAAAGCCTTAACATGCAAACACGTATTTATCAGGCCATTGTTTACGCAATAAAGATCTATGTGTTATCAAACTATGGACGTAATATTAAGAGAATGTTCGCAGTTCCCTTTATCTCGTATCTGTAATAATTTGATGCATCTGTTGTGAAATTACCATCTCTAATCTTTACTAATCTTGCTTACGTGTTTGTTTCGACGTCGGATTAGAAATTATTTTCTTTAGGCACACTGTTGTTGATAATGTTTATATTTTCTGTTATCCTAGTACTTGTTCTATTTTTAACACTAATAGGCCTGGTAAAATAATTAAAATACAATGCAACAAAATTTCTCCCTAGTTTGAATTTTGGGCCTTTAGCGCGCCTTCTTTTCGACTTTCAATACAGTATGTTTTATTTATTTACTAGCGACACGCCCCTAAAACACACGAATGACATGCTGATAATAAATTCTCCACCATTCAATGGATGTTACTTTCCTTTATAAAATCGGTTGCATAGTTTGACAGATTTAAGTATGCATAGGGATATAGGGACAGAGAGAGCGACATTTTTAAACTATGTAATGATAAGGCACCTTAGTTTTTTTCTTATTTCAATGATTTTTTTAATGAATGAGTGCTTAGGCGAAGCTCTAGTACAAAGCTAGTCCTCATACTTTGGCCCCTTATAACTTGAAACAAATAATTACAACGCATTGTTATTTTACAATGCGGGTGATAGATAAAACTTGCCATTTATAGGGCATTTAGCATAATTTGTACTAAAATTAGCTTCTGATATTTACTCAACACACTTGTGTGGTTCTCAAGGGCAGTCCATTGTGTACTGTGACCTTAACTACGGGTCATCAAGCTTGGGCATTAAGCCTTATTTATCTCGACTGATTGACCTCTATTTTTAAGCGATTTCCTAGAAATCTAGTGCTTTATTTGCTAGCTGAAACTAAACGTGACGCAGTATTTTGAAGTGCGTTGTTGTAGACCTTGTTGATCTTGAAAATCAATTTCAATTACTTTGATTTAAGTATTCATGTGTGATATTATTATTGACTTAAAATTATTAGGTACTTATACATATAAGAAAATGTTGTTGCGCTGAGCATTGTCCCTGAGCTGGGACATATGTATGTAGGTGCATAAGGAATTCCGGAGTAGGTTTACAGGAACCAAAGCCCCTTCAAATGCTGATGGTGACAATCGAGGCGCGGTTTTAGTAAGATAAAAAGCCTAGTTTCTAAAGACTTTTATCCATAATGTAAGACGGTTTTCCCTGTCTGTCGTAATAAACAAAGGTGCACTAGAAATATTGTTACCATGGGGGTATAGAATGGGGTCTCGAGTAACCAACTAGTGACCTCAGGGTAGACGGTGGCACAGTGGTGGCGTGCCGCCGTTTACAGCGACTCAAGAGAGACGCAAGTCTCTAGGGTTGTGAACCACGAAGGCTCCGGAGCAGTTCTATAAGAGGATCAGGTGTTCTTTACAGGTGCTGAATGAGGACTCCGGGGTGGTTAAAGTCAAGAAAAAAATCCTAAGCTCTTTAGACCCAAAAAATTAGGAGCAGTTTGGATTTTTCCTCCTGTACCTAATCAAAAAATAAAAACAATACTAAATATATAATGTTACATAATTATACCTACCCCAGATTTGCGCGTAAGTGGAGGGCAATAATACAACCTTCACCGTTGTCCGTAATCTGTTAGTTAACGCCATTGACCCAATTGGTTACATTGTACTGTATTTTTCTAATCTCAACCTAAATCCGTACAAATTAGATTAATTCATGAGTAAGGTTTCGGTAATGATATCAACTGAATCCGTCACTAAAGAGTTTCCGAACTAAAGAGAATAATGTTGTTTGAATGTTGTCTTTGTCGGTTTGCGAAATTGGATGTAGGCCATCACACATTGTCATCATCATCAGCCTATAAAGTGCCCACTGCTGAAAAGGTCTTTTCATTTAGAAAGTGATTTCACCAGCGTTGTATTTCCCGGATCAATCCTTCCCCGCGTTTAATCCTTAAATCTTGAAAATCCTAATCCCTATAAAACCAGCGAGGCATTTGTAACTCTTCCGCTGTTGCAGGCGTACTTGGGCGGTGCCGATTGCTTACCATCAGGTACCGTCTGCTCCTTTGGTACACTTAATTTATCACATAACAAAAACAATGTGACTTTTTCCGAGTTATACTTTGCATTGAGCAAGCGTGATGTTGCTCAACAGTGGGCATTGATGATTGGATGATTATTAATATGAACCTGAAAAAAGTTTTTTTATAACTTTCATTTTCTATACATGCTGCGATGCGCTCATAAACGAGGTTCCACAATGATAATAATTTTACAACAGTACGACGGACTATCGAAAATTTCACTTTAATGAGTTCTTGAAATCATTGCGACTCCTACGCAATGTTTTATCTGTTTGCACTTTGTACACTCGCTGACACGTAAAGAGATGTTTGTGCTCAATAAAATTCGAAAGCGTGTTTTTTTTTCTGAAACTTCCATTAATAGTTTACATTCATTCCAATTGATTCAAAATGTTTAGGCCTGTATTATTTATTTATTAAACACTTTATGTATTATGCTATTGGACGAGTCATGCAATAACAACTGTTGGCAATGAGGTCTCGAGATCAGGTTCCAATAGAGTTTAATTTCGAACTTTTCGGATAGTAGACAGGAGCCACAGAGGAGCTGGGTGCATCCATGTCCGGTGGACTGAAAAAAAATTACGGGAGATAGCATTACGTTTCCCTTTCTTTTTTAGATTTTCCTAATAACTGGCATAGGGACTGCCTTCGTGTATTATTTGCACCTGGGGGAAATTGTTGTACTACTTTTTGTAGCAAGAAACCTGCCAGAATATCTGGTAGGTTGTATATACTATAGGCAGTCACCATCAATAAGCTTGCACCTGCAATACCAGGGAATCATGAGTGAATAGAAGCGTGATTGTAGGTATATTTTCTATTGAATGTAGTCGTTTTAAAATGTAAGCGGTGTGAGATGGATAATTATAGCTAGTGTTTGTTCGTGCTATGCGGGTGTTAATTCTAATTAGCATTGCGACCTATAAAGAAGTAGCATAATTCTATGCTATCTTTTTTTTCTTTGTACCTAACAGAAGTGCTTTGTGTCTTTATCTTAGTTTAGTCATTTATTTTATCCTTTTTAATTTTATCAGTCATATTGATTGGTGCGGTAACATAAATAAGACATATGTTTTTTTTTAATATTAAACGGGTCATCGATACAATATGGTAATCTTATTCTTCCTCTCGAGCCCCTAGCAACAAGCTAGACATCTAATTAGGCCGCCGGTCGAGGCTGGAGTTATAGAGCCAAATATATTTTATCGTGTGAAGTAATATTTGTTATCAATTTCCTCACTCTTAAAGGAGGCGTGGCAAATCATTATTTGTCTTTAATCAGCTTTTATCTGTGGCTGTTTTCGAGAACAAAACCAACTCATACATTGACCCTCTATTTAGATCCGGCAAAGTACTAACTTAAGTACGTACACACGTCCAACGTCATACTAATTATTTTATCTGTGTGGAGGCGTGTGCACAGATAAACGCCGGGATTCGCGTAAATCATAACGTTGTAGTAACCCAGTGTTGATTTAACTCCTGCGCTGGCATAGTCTCCTAGTACTTGACTGTAGTCACACATAGAATTAAATAATAAATTCAATTTCTTGTAAAAATACGTTAAAATGGCTTTGAGTGTGTTCTTCAAGGTTGAGTTTGAGGAGAAACTTCTGACACAGAAGGAATCTATCGCGTGTGTTGAGTTTCTTGTTCATTATTACAATTTAGTTTTAGATGTTTTGTTTTATAAGTGGTTGAGGTAAAGTTGCGTTCATTTAAACTTCTTTCCATTTAAACTCTTATTTTTAATGGCATTCTCTAAAATGGTGTTTTATTTTTTCCTGTATTTATTTGTATTATATTTAGAAAGTTATTATAACGAATAAGAAAATCGGTAGAGATTTAGATTTTTCATTTACTTTGGTATAACATTATTTGTAGATTTTAAATCTATTGTTTATTGTTATGGGACATATACATATATATAATATACTTTGCGTGCTCATAATTTACAGTCAAACTACCAGGATATCATAAGGCTAAACACGTTCAACAATATCCTTGCAGACAAGTCCTCGAGGGGGTTCGGCACGTGCATAGTAAGTGCATAGTACACCGAGATCTGAAGCCCGAGAACATTCTACTGGATGACCAGCTCAACGTCAAGATCACAGACTTTGGGTTCGCGAAGGTGCTCAAAGATGGAGAGAAATTATTTGGTGAGTAACACCTATTATTTTTATATTAAACCATAACTTATGGCAAAGTTGAATACATTTTTTTTGCAATGGGTAACATTATGTCTAGTTAATATTCATTGTTTTGGCTTTGATTATTTTGCCTTTTGTAATTGTAACAATTTTTATAGATTTCGACAGACAATTTTAATAACATTTTTGGACTTGTAGTAACTCCAAAAATCTTATTGGAGATCTAGAATGATGAGCAAACATATCGAATAAGAATCGAATCATTTGGCGATCAATTTGAAGAAGTCAGTCCTTTTTAAAATGTGCAAAATATGAAGATAGCTTATCATAAAAAAAACAATAATAGTTGCGTCAGCTTTTTACTTTCTTTTATTCCTAGTATTTTTTTATTTTACAGCATAGTTACAAAGTAATAATCTCATTCAGTTTCAACACTCATGGTACATGCTCGTCACGCACTGCGACGCTCTGCATCTAGTCTTACATCAGGTTCCAACACAATACCTAGTAGTTTCACTTACAGAACAAAGGCTATTGTTATGGTTTATGACGTCCTGGTACCTTGGGCCTTCGTGTAATCCTTTTTTGTTATTAATTATTTATTTTTTGAGAGTAAAACGTCTATGTATGGCCTTGTTGATCAAGTAGTTGTAATCGCGACTGTCCAACTAGGGGTGTCTGTTTCGATTATTCCCGGGTCAGGCAAAAGGCATGCAGGTACGAGAATGCTTGCCGCTCTAAATAACTATTTGGAAAATAAAAGTAGTTTTTTTATCTCAGACAGAGTACCAGGAGGTCTGTGGTTCTTGCATGCGAAATTTCGTTTTATCTTTAGAGGCAGAAGACTAATTCGAAACGAAAAATGGAAAGAATAAAACAGAAAAATTTGTTCCATTCTCGTTTTCGAAACTTCGAAATAGACGAAATTAAAAAGAAAGAAAAGGAAGTTTGTCAAGTTTCGTAAGAATCTTGTTTTTCGTTGAATCATGAGAGTAGACGCCCAGATTTATCTAAAACTTATGTCCATTGTTAAACAATACCATTAAAAACTAAAACAAAAGTGTCTTTAAAATAGTCTTAATAATGGTAAGCATATTTCCACATTACAGAACTGTGTGGCACTCCGGGCTACTTGGCTCCCGAGACCCTCAAAGCCAACATGTTCGATGACGCACCTGGATATGGCAAGGAAGTTGACATGTGAGTAACTTGATATACTTAATTATGAAGAAATTTAAAATTATTAATTAATTATTAAATACAAAGTCAATAATGAACCATGGGTCCCTGCATAGCTTGAAATTAGTCGAGCTATCCCGTAACAGTATGTAAATTGTATCTAACTTTAAAGAGAAAGTTTTTAAAATAATTCAAGAGGTAATAAAATACTTATTTTAAGCAGTCTTACAATTTCTTCTGCAATATTTATCACACATTGAATTTTTCGCATTGGTAGCAGTAGGCAGTTTGAAAAATGCAACAGATTTCTACATTTGGCAATTTGACCTAGACGTTCTACTCCAATAAACCTAAATAAACTGCGTATGCTCACGAATCTCGTGTTACATGTGAAACAAAAACGCTTCAAAAACATAATATATATTTGTAATGTTTTGGTTCGATCAAAGTCGATCAATATTATATTTTATCTGGTTAATTAAAAAGCATTAAGTTCTGTGACTAACCTCTCGTGCCGTAGCCGTTGAGTAGGCAGAGTATAATATACGCGGCTATATATTCTATATACCACCCTGATTCTTTTTTTCCTGTGCGTGTCGAAAGAGCGGCCTAGTTACAACGCGAAAGAAATGTCCACCACCGACTCGAGCACCCGAATCCTCATGCCCGGGTGGGTCAAAAACACGGTTAAAAACTACTGGGCCTGTCTCCAGAGCACAGTCTTTCACAATCCTACCTATACTACGTTTGATAAAGATGAGGCAGTAGTTATGCCTTAAACATTTTAAACTATTTATTAACTCCTGTTTTTCGTGAAATTCTGGCAATCTATTATCTAGAGGAACTGACAAAAACTGTCGGTGTCTGTTATGAAACCTAACTTTATAGGTATTAATAATACACAGTACTAGATGACCCAGCAAAGGTTGTTTTGCCATATAAAATATTTATCATTTAGGACTATGAAAAGTAGCCGGTAGTAATATGCATATAAAATTTGGTAAAAATCAGTAAAGCCGTTTCGGAGGAGTAAGGTGACTGACATTCTGACACGAGAATTTTATATAATTATAAAAATTTATTCATATTAGTTTTGTCTAAAGAATCGTTGTTGTACTGACATTTAACCCAACGTTATGTAATTATCAGTAAAGATAAATAAATGATGATTTTGCTGTCTCGTATCTTAAATGATGCGTAACAATTTAAAAACGATTGTTATCTATGTGTAATATTTTAATCTATGCTCTGTTTATTAGTTAAAAAACTTGTTTTCTTTGTTTCTTTGTTCGTGTGTTTTTATTCTTATGAATGTTTTGCTTTTCCAATATCCTACTTCTATATATTTTTTTCGTATTTCGGGTTACTTGCAAACAAATACATGTTTTTTAAATGTGGTCTAGATTTAAAAAATGTCCCATGAAGAAAAAACTAAGCTGACAATATCAAACATATTGAAAATTTTGAAAAACATTTTCGTATGAACGCGATGAACACAAAAACTACTGAATCAATTTTAATACGATACTAACAATGTTTGAAAAGGAAAATTTTAGCATGCTACTTATTAAGGTTGTGCGTAAATTAGCACAAATCATGAGGCACAAAACCTGAACGGATCGCTAGCGTTTTTTTTATTGTGCGCTATGTTTAACATGTTGGTGAAAATTATTAGGTACGTGCGACATTATAAAATACAACACTCCAATGTCCATCGATTATGATAGATCGGCAAAAGAGCAGACGGATTAATTACCTGATGGTAAGCAATCAGCACCGCCCATGCAGACCCGCAACAACAGAGAAGTAACGAGTGCGTTGGTGACCTATAAGGGATTTGGAGATTTAGGGATTGGGGGAGGGGAAGGAATGGGCGTCCGGTAATCTCACTCACAGGGCGAAACACAACGCTGTGGTTGTTTCATGCCGGTTTTCTGTGAGGCCGTGGTATGTTATCTGATGGAAAGCAATAGCGCCGCGCATGGACACCCGCAACAACGGAAGACATACGAATGCGCCGCCGACCTTTTGGATATTAGGAATTTATGGATTAGGGAGGGATGGGGGAGTGGAAGGAGCGGGCCTGACATGAAACAGGCGTGATTATTTCACGCCTGTTTTATGTGAGGCCGTGGCATCACTCCTGTCGAGCCGGCCCATTCGTGCCCCTGCATGGCTCTCCCATACTTATTCAAGATATTGCTCTAAATTATTGTATATTACATACATATTAGCAATGTAAATTGTAAATAAAGTTTGCGTATTGTAATGTATAGGTATATTTATTATTTTCTTTTATCGTTACAGATGGGCGTGTGGCGTCATCATGTTTACTTTGTAAGTGTGTTATGTTTTTTTATTAGTAATATCTGTACACATTGGGAAAATTTTAATAAATACATATCAAAAATGGGTACAATAGCAGGTTCTGTTCGTAAATACCTAAATAGTGTCGTTAGATGAACGAAAAATTTTGGAACGTGAACTAGAATGAATTCTGGGATTTTATACAGACTATCAGCTCGCTTCCATCGATTAAATTAGCGATATAAAAATAAGATTTGTATTTAAAATATTGATGTGTATTGTTTTTAATACATCAATTCTTACAATTTAATAAGTCATATAATAAAAATGTGGCTTGTTAACACCCGGTTTCCGAAAGGCCGATCAATGTTAAAATCAATTTAATCTCATGTCAAGTCATCTGATTGGTTGACTGAATTATCAACAACCAATCAGATGACTTGACAAGAAATTAGCTAATTTTAGCGTTGACAAGCCTTTCAGAAACCGGGTGTAAGACATTAAATTCTTTGGCTTTATTATTATTCTATTTTTTTTGTTTGAACGCGAGAAAATTCGAAACTGCTGGTTCGATTAGGACAATTATTTTTGCCTTAGTATAATCAATCCATTTAGCGAGGAATGCTAAATATAAAACATCAAGCCTTGTCTAACAGGAGCTGAGTAGCGCATACAACTGCGCTGGAGAATCTTTTGTGTTTTGTACTCACTCAATTTGAAAACTAAACTTAATTGTTACAATGTAAGAAAACTTGAAACTGTATCAATATCGATTATTCTACGAAGTTCTTAAATAACTTTTAATTAACACTGTAATGAATAAACAATTATGTAATTATTAATGTGCAACGTTTATCGCTGTTAGCTAATAGTTGGTTAATACAAATTAATGATTGATGATTCAGTGAAAGTATTGATAAAGATACATACTTATTATTTTCTTAACTTCTTCTGACTTTAGACTTATACTTATTAATTTGATTTATAGATAGGTACATTAAATTGTATAGAGAAGGTTCGGATTTGTTGAAACTACCAAATATAATTTAGGTGTCTTCAAGGCTAGAGTAAATAGGCTCTTAATAAACTAGTGCGCCTTACCATCAACGATTGCATCACTGCTTACCATCAGGTGGGATCGCAGTCAAGCACTAGTTTATAGCAAGTAAAAAAAAACTACGTAGGTATGAATTGAATAATTACTAGCGTTTGCTCATAACTTCGTTTGAGTAGGATAGTACTTTAGGCAGTTTTCTTATTCCAATTAACAAATTATTAAGGGTACTTTTTTAAATACCCTAAACTCGAAGTGTTGCCCAATCAGTTTACTGGCTTACTAGCTATCCGACTTAAAAGTTTTATCAAAATCCTTCCATTCGTTTCGCAGATAATCATGTGCAATGACAAACATACAGTTTTTTGAGCGTTTATTCTGTAGTACTCTTGTTCCTGTACTTTTTTATTTGTTTTATTTTTAAATATGTTTAGCGCCTGATTTATCTTCACCAATAAACTTATGTGACACATAGCATAGTTCATGTAAATTACTTTTTTATAGCATACGAGCAATCATGTCACCTGATGGTAATAAATCGGCACTGCCCACAGGCACCTGCAACACCAGAGATACTTTTGAAGTCTCTTAAAATTGTAAATAATTTTATAGACACCAAAGGATCTTAGAAATAGAATTTCATAGCAAAAGAATTGCAAGTGCAATGCTGCCCTTTTGGAGCTTAGGAATTTGAGGATTGAAGGGATTTAAGGTTTGAGCCTTCGCTAACCTCAGTCACATGGCGAAACATATTGAACTATTCTTTAAGCCAACACTTAAATGTTTTCTATGAGGCTGTGGCATCCCTTCAGTGGAGCCGATCCATTCGCGCCGAAGCTTGGCTTTTCCACACTTCCATCTCACGTCTTGAAAGATACCGTTTTGTTAGCGTATATTTTCCATAGGATTTTTCTATGCTGATGTTTTCAGATTAGTCGGGTGTCCTCCGTTCTGGCATCGCAAGCAGATGGTCATGCTGCGGAATATCATGGAGGGGAAGTATTCCTTCACCAGCCCTGAGTGGGCAGATATTTCAGGTAAGCATCTTTTGTAGATTGGATTTCATCAGCTTTGTTTAGTACGCACATAAGAAAATTAGATTGATAGCATATATTATGTTGATGTATGCTTTTGGCTGAGCAGAATAAGTACGGTTTTCTTATTTAACAAAATTATGCGGTTAAAAACTGCTGTGTCTGCCATAGTTTAGACAGGGTCTTACAGTTGCAGTATATTCCTTTACCAGTATAGTCTTAAAAATCAACCTTTATACATTACATTATTACCTACCTACCAAATACCTTGGCTGGCGGTAAATTACTCTTTACTTTTTACCGTAAATAGTCCTTTATAAGTATCAATCCCCGGATATAATGGAGTTTATTGCTCGTTCAATTTTACTTAAATCAAATTTTTCCCTATTACAGATGACCCAAAAGATTTAATTAGGCGGCTTCTAGTGGTGGAGCCTAGCGAAAGGCTTGGCATTGTCGACGCCCTCAACCATCCCTTCTTCAACACGATGGTGAGTGCTCTCTCTAGTCATGATCTCCTGGTAGTTAGACATCAGTGTATTGATTTTATTTGGGTTGTTTCCTTAGTCAAAACTTTTATTTAGTATCTTAAAATATGATGTCAATTTTAATTAATTGATTGAGTAATCCTAATCGTAAGTTTTTTAGTACTTATTCTTCAACTGATTTAAGAATAAAATAAAAATATGTCAGATATTTGATGTAAAAAGTCCAAGTTTTTGCTAACGCCATTGTTTTACAAGGTGCAATTTTAACATTTTACATTAGAAAAGATTTTTATAATAATCACTATCGCGAAACATTCAAAATTTATTGAAATTTCGTCGAAATTTCCAACAAATTTAGAAAATTTAATAGTTTTTCACATTTCAGAAAGCAACTTTGACTATTTGGAAACTACCCTATTCTTACAAATGCTTTCAAAATACCTTTTACTACATTATCTAGTCGATTTTGAATTACATGTCCGACCATTTTTCGCTTCAGATTTCTTGTGCTTTCTTAAATAGCTTATTCGACTAATAGAGCAATGTTGACAGCAAATTGTTATTAATTTATTTGTTTCAATTGATTTCTATGTGCACTTAGACAGTGCATGATGCACTGTAGAGCTTTTTTCTTTTATTTTGCTTATTTTATTTGTTCCTAGTTATTTGATCTTTAAAATGAAATTTATTTATATTTTGTTTTTAAATTTAATATTTTTTAAAATTATATTTAAAAGTTTTTAAGTTAAAAGAATCGGGATCATGTAACTAGGAACGCATATCACAAAGCAATTATGTTGAAACACAATACAAGTGCTACATATTTCTGCGTCCCTGGTAGTTATGGGATCAAGACATGATGCCGCTCAAGAAATCCTTGTCGAGTACTAGCCGCCGGATGTCTCGGATCGACCAGTTGGCAATGGTAATCTCATTGTGACTAATTTATAACTTTTGGGTAATAGTTATGACGAAAATCCATACACATTAAAGGGATATAATGTCGTGCATGACATGAATATAAAAATATAATTGTTAATATTTCTAACTAATCTTAATTATCTTTTGGTAATAAGAAATGGCATATATTTCTTATCAGTTCCGAGTAGCTGATGAAAGGCCTAGTTTATAAAAAAATATAATAATAAGTGACGTCATATCTATTCAGTATTTATTGCAACATTTTGTGTGAAATGTAATGTTTTACAATAGTTTTAATCACTAAAATTTTCCCTTAGATTCTAATATAGATTTTTCCATCAGAAAGTTACTAATTTATTTTCGGGAACTTTTTCAATGTTTGTGTTGTTACATTTTAAAAGGTGGCTTTTGAAAAAAGAAACCTATTCATAAATATCTTCTTGCTTGGGGTACCTTTTAAACACACAATACTCACACACACTCGCATTTACTCTGACATGCATACAAATACAATAAAAAACTTAACTTCTGTAGGTACAGTCTGTCCAAAATAGCACATTGTCGATTACAAATACGATATTCAAAAATTATACTAAAGCTAGTAAAACATACAGTCTATTTTAGAATTGTGAAAAAAATGTTTGTGTACTCCGATACTGTGCTATTCTGTTTGCATGGTGTCCTAAATGCTTTGGCCTCAATATCTTTTGCATGATGTAGTGAATATTTTGTTTAGTTTCTATTTGCATGACACTTTTAGAATTACAAAACAAGAAGTACAATACAGGTATATTGTTCATTGGTGGTATATGTATGTTTACAAGTCTTAGTAATTTGCCTATACACAGATAATAGTAATGGAAGACATGTATTTTTTTTCGGTGCTGTGACTCCATCGTTGATTTCAAACATTTTATTTTTACATAAGAATTATCAATTCAAATACTTTTTTCATTCAAAATGTCTTCCAAAACTAATATCCCGAATTTAGGAACACGAAATATGAGTGCGTAAATGATGACAGGCTATAAAGAGCGGCGGGTTCAATGCGCGTGGCAAGTTACGCGTGGCGCTGGTAGCGGTCCGCGCGGCCGTGCGCCTGCGCCGCCTGCCCCACGCAGCAGCGCGCGCGCTTCCTCTCGCCGACGCGCTACGAGACCCCTATACTATGCGCGTTCTCAGAAAGGTACAAAAATCTTGTTGTTATCCTATTCTTTCTACTAAATGTCCTAGTTATAAAATTAATGTGCAATATCTACACTTCAATTCCGTGTCCATTTTAATGCAGAGCACCAAGTTTTCGTACGTCTTTAATTAAAACATTCAGTCATCGGAATTTCTGCATAGCAAAAGGTGCGATAAGAATTGATCACGATGGTATAAAAAACCTGAGATTTCAGAAATTGTCCTAAAATTTTTCTTGGCATTTTCTGGCACTTACTTAAATTTTGCATTTAAATTCTAGGTCATCGACGGATGTGCGTTCCGCGTATACGGGCATTGGGTAAAGAAGGGCGAGGGACAGAACCGTGCCGCCCTCTTCGAGAACACGCCTAAGACCGAGCTGAAGAGCTTGTACGTCAGCAACCTCAGCCGATAGCCACATGCCCGTTATGTCGGGAGACATCCTTGCCGCTGCTGCGATCCTGGTACATTGGTAAGTTATTCATTTACAGCTCACGAGATTCTGCTGGACAATCTGCATCCTCTATAAAATAGGGGTTTGCCCTAATCTCGGATCACAGTTTAAAACGATCACGCACGCTTATCAGATATGGCTGCTAAACCTAATTCAAAATGTAAAACCAAACTTAAAAGTAGGCGAGTGTGCTAACCTTCCTGCTTCGCTGGTATCACGCTGAAAAACAACATTTATTATTTTTCCTGATAGGTATTTTTCCTGAATAATATGTAAATCTAAATTATATTTTGCTTGTTATTTTGTATTGTTTAACGAGATTGTCAATAACTAGCCTATCTCGCGTGGTTTCACCCGCTGCTTGGCTTCCTTTGATAGTAGCATGATGTTTTATACAGTCATGAAACATTGTAGCAGCTATGTATCGGGTAAAGAATTTTGGAAACCCGACCAGCGGTTCCAAAGATTGCCCCCTACATACAAACTTACAAGTTTTACCTCTTTATAATATTAATATAGATGTCATAGAACAGTATTTTATTGGCTTTTAGTTGGTCTGTGTGATTGCACCTTACCTAAATTACAATAACAATCACTCAAACTACAAGGTAATGTGCTGATCGTGTCAGCCATAGTGAGCTCAGCAAAACTTTCAACTTTCTCTTTTTCTCCAGGAGCAGTTCAAGTACCAGGGTTGCAGAATATTCGAAGAAGTGATCTTCGGCCAACTAATCAAGTCCGAAGCGTGAACGAATGATGTAGGTTAGTCGTAGTTACTGTGAGTAATGTTATGCTACCTTGGTACACTAGTTGAATTGTCTACCTGTATTATCACATGCCTGCAGTTGACTAGACAACCGTAGTCAACATCAAATAGCGTAAATTACATTTCTAAATTAGTACAAGAATGAAAGGGAAGCAATAAAAATTGCTGTGATGACGAATTATCATATTATCTTGTGTTAGTTGTTAATTGTTTTTCTCACTATTTTAAGGTCCACATTAGAGATAATTTAGTATTATTCGAGTCCTGTATAGATATTGTATTGATCAAATTAGTTTAACAGATTGTTTTATAACAAATTAAGCTAATATATGCGATAGCAGAGCGTACAAAAAAAATAGCAATATTGTCTACACGTAGCTAACAGATATTATGTGGAAAATATCACAATAAGGTGCCTTCTCAGTTCGTGGTGCGAGAATTTATATCGTTTTACAATATTTTTAATTTGAATAATGTTTGGTGTGACAGTAACTAAGCAAGTGTTTCGGAAACTTTTTGTTGCAAATAGTATTTCGATCGTAAATGCAATAATTATTAAGAATTAAAAAAAATGTGACGAAATGTTTGATTATAAATATATGTAAGTGTATTTGAACTAAAGTGTAATTGAGATATTTTTTAAAAAATGTTTTACGAAGGGATTTATTGAGATTTCGTATTTATAATAAAGAAATAGCCTTGTGACGTTATACATTCAGAAAAAATACTTTTTATGACCAATTGACTTAATTTGCAACAACGTTGTTTTTTAATTATTTTGAAGTTTCATTTAGTTCACAATTACAACGACCATACAACCAAGATCCAGTGTTAAAAACTACTTAAAAATAATGTCTGCTTGAATTAATCGACGAAAATGGTATTTCCGTTGTGTTATACAATTTTAATAATAAATACAGTTTTGTTTACAATATTTAACTTTATAATGGATAGAGATCGTTTAAGTATGCCTATCAAATGTCGTCAAATTACGAAACTCATTATCTTCCACACCACACAGTTTATCCATATTCACTTCATATTTTACAGTTGGTATAACACCGATCAATTGATGTGGTTCGGAAAACCCCTAGCTGACGTCATCCAAAAAAAAATTATTTTTGTAAAATAAAAAAATGCAGTCTTGTCTTTTTTGTATGTATATTCAATTCATTTTCACACTTATTAGCAAATCAAGGGTAACTTATTAAGCTGACACTATGTCAGCTATGTTTTTTAAATTTCCGACGAAACAACCTACTTAGTTCATAGTATCTAATATTTTTGTATGAAATCTAAAATATATATCTATAATCAAAATATATATTTTTTGTACTGATTGAAACATTTTCTGCTCCTATTTAGATAGTAAATTAATAAAATAAATGTAAATACAGTTCTAACTTAGTTTTCTCCTTCAACTGGGTAGTTTCCGCAGTCAAAAACATTTTTTTTATATAAAAAAAAAATATAATTACAATATCATTAATTTATCTGACGAAATATCTACTCAATTTCCGTGTGTTAAAACATATTTTTAAGAAATAAGTTTGTTATTTGACGTAAAATATATGACATTAAAAAAAAAGTTTTTTTTGTTTTTGATATTTGTAAATTAATATTTAATTTGACTAGTTGGAAAGTACCCGATACCTATAGAACTATTTATTAATAATTGTAAGCTATACTGTAAAAAGCAATTTAAAACTTGTACTATGAAGAATAAAGACAGCTTCTCAGTTATCAAAACAATGTTAATATCCCTTTTAGACAAATAAATTTATTTAAAACCTATATTTTGAAGTTTTACTACTATTTCAACCTAATTCTTGAGACGCATGACTTGTTTCGTTCCGTTTTTCACAAAAATGAATGAATGACAACGATAAGAACTCACTAAATTATCAACAGAATGATAATAATCGTAAAATTAATATTCTACGACTACTAAAAAAAAAACATTGGCTCCTAAGGGTCCCTTTTTTGCCCCGGCATTGTAAGAGACAGCTGTTTTTTTTACTCACGATGTCAGTCGCGTATTCGCGTAGTAGAAGTTGTAAATCTTTGAGACGTTCTAAAAATAAACTTTTCATACCTACCTAATACAGTTTTAGTAAACTAAACTGTTCACTTCCTGATCCGCATATTTTAAATTTCCGTCCGAAATTAGCAATGAAGCTCACGACAAATACGTACTTATTCTCATTGCATAACACAACACATAATTGATATAATGCGTATTACATGTTTCCTGGATTTGTTCCAAAAATGTCGAACTTTATTTTCCTTCAGCGCTTTATAATTTCTCCCCTACTCTCCCGACGTAACTACTCGCGCAAGGCACGTAATTGTGTACTTGTTTACAACTCACAAACTTTTATGGTTCTGAATTCTGAATCCATGGCCAATAGAATAGAGTTCATTTCACCTTTTACGAAAAATCCTTTGTTAGTTGAAGTAGTGAATGAATAAGTTCAGTCCCTTCCGACTACTTTTAGTACTTAATTGCACCTTGAAAACTTCAATAAAAATCACCAAATAACGAAACTATGCTTAGTTTAGCTTTCTTCAACGTTAATCTTACCTCAAAAAGATAGTTCGTAAAAATTCAATGAACCTAACAACTTGTTAAGTCCACGATAACCGGGGAAGTGAAAGTCGGCCGGAGTTACGCACGTGCGCGACTCGCAGATCGCCCTAACTAGGCGACGCAGTGGTGAAGACACTTATTTATTAGTTAGAAATAACGTTCAGATCGATTATTAACTGAAAATAGTAACTAATACACAGGAAAAGTATTAGATAAACAAAGCTAGTGTGCCGCGTCACCGGCTGGCGGGCGGTGGCATGCATTCGATCCCTGCAATGGCATCGATCGCGCACGCCCCGTGCTACGTCGCCGCGGGCCGCCCGCTCATTGGCCGAGCTGCGCAGTCACGTGACCGGGCCGCCACCGCGCCATTGGCCCGTAGTGGCGGCGGCCACGTGAGCGGCGCGCGGCGCGCGTGGCCAGTCGCGGCGTGACAGCGGGCGCGCTTGTACCGCGCGGGCCGTGCCGCCCGTCCGACATGAGCCTGCTCGACACGCTGCTCGAGGCGGCGCGCTTCATCGAGCTGCAGGAGCGGCGCCTCCAGGCCGGTGAGTAACGACCAGTGTCCGTGTCCGCACCGCCCGCCGTCAGCTCTCCGCTCTCGCCGCCACACGTCACGAGTGAAACCGGTCCCTGGGCGTGCGCCGATTCGCGAGCGTCCAGTCGCCGGCGCGCCGGTGCAGCGAGCCGACGCCCGACGCTCTTGACCTTGAACAGCACGCAGCCGCACCGCCCCCCACCTCCACGCGCTCCCGGCCGCGCTGGCCTCGCCCCACGTAAACAAAGGAAGCCTGAAATTTACTCGTCGGACGCCACGCACCGCACGTCCACCTCCGTTTACGATTACTGCCTGTTTCATTTACGACACACCGATGCCCACTCTTATCTGTCGTGTTCGGCTATATTCGTAATAATATCGTACGAGTGCGCACACTCTAAAATGTTTTTATTTGTGCATACAAAAACACGACAAAAAGCCAAACGTTCAAAACAAACTCACAACGTATTTTCCTAGTCTGAGTGGGTGGTAGGTAAGCGGTCTGTGCAATGTATACGTGGAGCGAGTTAGTCAACATAACGCATGACGCATTGCTTTGGACGAGGCAGGCAGGGGGCGCTCGAGAGTTCGGTCAGCTGATCGACGCGTGTGCCGGGCCAGGCAGGGGGGCGGCGGTGCGCAGCGGCGGCGCGGTGCGGGGGGAGGGGTGCGACGTGTGCACACGCATCGCAAGGCACGGCCAATGCGCTTTACAATATGCATTTTAAAGTAATTTTAACTCCACATCCTCTCGAAGTGTGTAGACACTTGGGTTTTCGAATGTTTACCTCAAGAAAAACTAGCACAAGGCACGGTTGCGTAACGGTGCGTGCGCTCGTATCTACTTCATAGACACCTATTGTTCCAACTACTTGAACGCATTGTCTTATTGTGCATTATCGAATCTGTAGGTAAACTCCTCCGCTTACAAGACACGGTACACTAAATGAACTGCTGCCACGTTAATCACGTTTTGTTTGCATTGATTTATTACTGTAATATTTTTATTGCTTGTGGAAAACGGAACCCAACACCTACCTAATCTCATGCGGCTCTAAATATTACTACAGAAAACTACCAACACAGAACAACAACATGAACAAACTTATGGCATTTTGTAAACAAACAACTATCTTATCGATAGCTAATTAACGTATCAAGAAAAACGATTAAAACGCCAAAACAATGCTACGCTGAACATTTACAAGGCATTTCTTTTGTATTTGTATCCTTACTTAGCCACGAGTTACGTTGGCTGGCTTCCGCAATACTTTCTTTGTCATGCAAAGCAAAAAAATCTTGAATGCACAACTACTTGCCGTCACAAATAGGGTCACAAATCCTATTTAATCGTAAAAAGTTTCTATTGTACTGAAAAGAGAGGTTCATAACAATTCTGGTCATAAAAGAGGGTTGCCGAAAGTAGAATTTACAATTCAAGTGGAACCTAAAATATTGTTCTCATACTTGCACTAGATGAAACACAATTTTTACTGAGCCTGGCATCTAAACAGCTCGACGTAATGCCATCATTAATTTTACTAAGACCTAAAGAGAGTATAATTCGTTAAACTGGTTATAATGTTAAAGATTATCTAAAAGACCTTTTGCAGTAAAATGTCCAACATCCCATAAAAATGCAGATTTTTCCAAATAGTTGCTAGGGAGAGAAAGACATTGTTCCATACTTGATAAAATAAAGGAAATTCAAAAATTAAAATTACCGAACAGATTTTGAATTGAATAACTAGTTACCTACTCATTTGAGAGTTTTGCAAAATATATCTGAATCTTATTTATACATGAAAGAACAAGAATAAGTTTGATTCCATAAACATAGTATGCATTAAGTAACAATGATACCCTAATATGAAAATTATGAACGATAACCCAGGAGTGAGGAAAGAAGTTGTGTTGGAACACAAGGCCGGTATCACTCCGGTCTGCAAACCGTGTTATCATGTTTGCCCTACACTTATCAGTGGTCGCCACTAACCGATACGTATAGGTCTACGTATAGTGGCTTAGGATTTAGTACCGTTTTACCGACGACGTGACTACAGCCGAAGCACGATATCCTATCTAAAATCAAAGCTTAACGCTCCTACACTATTCTATGACGCTCGAGTACGACTTGTGACTTTCCTTTCGTATAGTTTGACTCTACCGTTTTAATTTCCACGCATTTACATTATCTTGTCTAACATAAATATGTATTGTTTTGATTAAGTTCTGTTATTGCGACTTACATTTCATGGCACCGCACGTTCATCCTTCTTTATGCGTTCCTATTATCGGTGCGGTCGATTCTTTGCGTCACACTGTTTCGAACTGCCGAACATGTAATAGCTTGACACTTAACGCGTACCTTGTATTGTGCAATATTCGCCTATATTGCTTGACCAAAAAGGGCCTTATTACAATCGAGTGTTTATGCGAAACATTGAAGAGCAAAAAGCATTTTGTACTTTTAGTACTGCAGAAGTTG